GGATTCCCTTGAAACTGGAGTTACGGAAGGTTGTTAGCTACCAAATAGGTGCTGGGAATCAAATCCTGGTCCTCTGCAAGAGCAGCCAGTGCTCTTAACCATACTTATCAAATAAGAAGGCTGGATACATTGGTATAGTATCACCCCATTTCTAGTTCCAGCCTGGATTCCTCCAGAGCTAGCAAATCCTCCCATTGGTCCTGAGGCCTCCACATTGCACCATATATCTTCTTGTCTCAGGCCTCTTGTTGGAAACTAAGGCACCTGGTCTATAGGTCCATCACACATCTGTCCATGGACCAGCAGAGCAGGCTCTAGTTGGCAATTCGGAGTCCCAGGCGCAGGTGCTGTACTGCAGCATCATGACCTGCAGTTCCACATGACGTGACCCTCAGAGTTGTTAATGCTTTACTCTGAAATTTTTATGAGGAGGATGTGAGCAACGCACCCCACCTGTCTGTTCTCAAAGTTCTGTAATTGTCTGCTGGCTAGTAGATCCAGCTGTTGCTATCTTCCATACCAATGTCCTGTCCACTGGTCTTGGGTACATCAGGAACCTATCTTTATTTTCTTTAGTCTCAGGGAACAGCCCTAGAAAGGCTGAAGTTCCTGAAGCAGGGCTAGAATTCTCTCAGACCCTAGGTAGATTATGCTGAGTTTGCACTGCTCAGTGCTGCCCAGGACAGCTTCATTGCCTTGGAGGTGGTTTGTGACTGGATAGAGTGTGAACAATGATTACTGTGGGTCACTGTGGCTCAGCCGTGTTAAGGCACTTGGAATGGTGATGCGAAAAGAGGGAGGCTGCTCAAGGACATGTGGCCTTCAGGTTTCCTGGTCCCAAGAGGGTGCTTGACTAGATGAGGGGTGATCATAGTCACAACTCTGCTGGAGTCTTGTATCTTTCCTTCCCACTCTTTCCAGAGGGCAGTTGCTCTTATCTAACGCACTCTGGCTAAAGCCAGTATCCCACACTGTGGTCATATCTGGCCCCAAAACTCTCACAGTGGAGGGTATCCTTTACTCTCAAGTTCAAGTGCAGGAGGCCCAGGCTTGTTTCCTAGCCTGCATCAAAGCCACAGGCCCTGGCTTCTCTCCAAAGCCAAGAGAGGGACCAAGGTGGGTATCCCGAGTCCTGTCAATAGAAGCAGTTACAGAAAGAGGGTAGCTCTTGAGGACCTCCTTGGGGCTGGAGTGCTAGAGGGAGAGGCAGGAATAGGTGTGGGGTATGGGACAGGAGCTAGAAGATAGACCATTAGAACTGAGCTCAGCAAAGATCTCTCTCTTTTTTTTCCTTTTATTTATTTATTTATTTATTTATTTATTTATTTATTTTTTATTTATTTATTTTTTTTTTTAGTATTTTTGACACAGGGCCTTCCTGTAGCCCCAACTCCCAACTGGCCTGGAACTTGTTATGTAGACCAGGCTGGCCTACATCTTACAGAGATCCACCTTCTTCTGCCTCCTAAGTGCTAGGATTAAAGGCACAGGGCTGACCATTCTGGGAAAAGGGATGTTCCATGTTAGTTTGTGAAAGGCCTGCTAGTGGTGGTAACTGGAGCAGGAGATGCCTTCTATAAAGATTGTTTCAAAGCCTTCTAGGTCCACAAGTTCAGAGTCATTCTGGGGAAAAACGGATTCATCTTTCCTGGGGAGAAGGTACTTGTGGTATGGTCTAGGGGGCTTTTGTCTAGCTCTGTGGTCTGGCACATTTCTTGAGGCCTGGGTCAGGATTCTGCCAAATGACTATGCTTTGTTCCAGGGGTCATCTACATTTATGAGGGAGAGGCCTATGGGCAGAGCCCAGAGTAAGACCCTGGCTGAGGTGAAGCTGATTCTACAGAGCGCTTAGAAGAGGTGTTCAACTTGCCACCCTCAGTGCTGGGCTGTGCTGCCCAGGAGACAGCAGGGACAGAGGAGGTCTAAAAGGTGGTTGTGGACAGTTTTCTACAACAGCTGTTTGTACTAGCCCAGCTCAGGTGGAGGAGCAGCTTTACCCACCCCACAGTCAGGAACCCCCTCAGGCGTGACTAGGTCCCCAATAACTACTCAAACTGAGGCTCTGTCTAGGTTGTTCAACTGCATTAGGATGAGCTGGGCATGGTGGCACACACCTTCAATCCCAACACTCAGGAGGCAGAGTCAGGTGAATCCTTGAGAGATTAAGGCCAGCCTGGTCTACTATGTGAGCTCCAGGACATCTGGGGCTACAGGGAGACCCTGTCTCAAAATAAAGACCCAAAACAAAACAAAACAAAACAAAAACAAACTCTGTAAGGGTACTGACAGCCAAAGAGGAGTGTCTGTATATCCTAAAAACCCACCTGATGCTGCATGTGGCCTGAGCCCATGGCTACTGCAAGGTGAGACTTGCTGCAGGGGGCTGCATCCTCTTGGCTATTAAGCTCATGACCAGTCTGGCCCTGGGGAGAGGAGCCTTCCTTGCCTGAGACACAGGCTTCTTAGAGGAATGGCATGGATGTGGTGCAGCCCATGCAAGACCACATGCTGAACAAAGTGGGCTTCTGCAACCACCTGTTGCCATTGACACCAAGGCCCTGAAAAAGGCCAGTATCCACTGGCTGATGGAGACCTTCATTCTGAGGCTGTAGACCCAGTTCCCCTCCACAATCAGCTCTGCGTACAACACACATAGGAAAACTGGCCCCGGAAGGGCTGTGCCATTGGCCCCTTAGGCCCCAGTGCCACAGCCTTTGGGGCTCAGTCCTTACATCTCTCCCAGATGCTGCTAGCTGAGGTTAGGATGCCTGCCCTCCCCCCACTACTGTTCAGGGGAGGGCTGGGCCCAGAGCTGCCATGGGACAGTTAGCAGAAGGCAAAGCATGTAGACATGTATCACACAGCAGCTATGCTATGACTATCAGGTGAACATGGAGCATCTGCCCTTCCTGGACCCACTGCCACCCTACATCCTGCCTGAGGCTCAGCTTCGAAGGCAGAGGGCCTTGGTTACCCAGGAAATCTAGGACTAGCTCATCAAAGACTATGATGATGAGAAAGAGAAGAGGTAGGGCAGAGCTGAGCTCCAGGACTCAATAGGCCATGCCGAGCAGGAAGGTGAGGACAAGGGGACTGGCTTGGGACTGTCCATATGTTTTTTTCAGGTTTTTAAACAAATATTTATTACTTTTATATGGTGTGTATGAGTATATTGCCTGGATGTATGTAAGTGAACTGGTGTTGTACCCTTGGAGGTCAGAAGATAGCATCAGATTCCCCTGGAACTGGAGTTAGGAATGATTGCTAGCTGCCATGTGGGTCCTGGGGGATCAAACCTGGGTCCTCTGCAAGAGCAGCCAGTGGTCTTAACCGTTGAGTCATCTCTCCAGCCCCACTGACTTTCCATTTGTATAAATTAAAGCATTCTTAATTTTAAAAAAAGAAACCACTCACTTTTGGGCTGAGATGATCTCTGCAGTTTCTCTCAGAACCAGCAAGCAAATTGGGCAACCCTGGGAACTTTAATTTGGGGTTCCACTCATGCCAGCACTAAATTTCTCCCAGTGTTAACAGAGGAACTCAGGTCTGTAGCTCTAACTGGACTCTCACTGCATTCTAAAAAAAAGAGATGGGGGATACCAAAACCTAGCAAAGGAAACTTGTTTATTACAGTTTGGTCCAAACAAGGAGAGGAAAAAAGCACCCTACTTTTTCTCCAGTGTTCCTGTGGCAGTCTTAGACTTACAGAAGATGAAAGGCCAGGAAATAAGTGTATGAGGTGAGAGGGGCTATAAGTCCTATCCTGGCTCTCTTGGGGTCCTACCCAACTGTCTTCATCCTTAGGATTGAGGCCAGGCTCACTTACACCAGGGTGTGTGGAGAGAGCAGAACACCAACACAAGTGTCAGGCCATTTCTACAGATTTCCCCCAGGCTTCTTGTTAGGCACTTGAAGGACACATTCTGAAACAACTCAGTGTCCAAGTTCCCGAAGTCCAGCTGAGGGTCATTTCTACCACAGCTAACACATGGACTCTTTCAAAAGGGACTTCTTGAAGGTGAGCAGCTAGCAAGGGCTGGCTACAGAACGCTGGAGGAAAGGTGCTTCCTTATTGTGCCCCGCACTGCAGACCTCAACCGCTAAGGGACCAAAACTCCAGTGCTTTACCTCGCCTCGTTGATGAAGCATAATTCAAACCTCTCTCTGCAGGTTTCCAATGGCATCTCGTTATGAAAGGCAGTCTGGTGTGGGTTCCATGCCCAGAGGTTGAAATCTCAAGAAACTGACCACATCAGAGGGTGGGCGCGGTGGTGCTGTGCCTCTGCCTTGGATGTGGATGAAGGCTGGTAGAGCTGGGAGCTAGGAGCTGTGGCGAGACTGAGCGGAGCGCGTGCACCTGCCCGCTGCGCCTTCCTCTAGGGACCCACCGCCAGATCCCAGGTTGGTCCCCGGGTTTGGAAAAGTGGGAACCTGGCGTATGTCCCTGGAAGGTGGCCTTCAATTTTGTATGTTCTCTGTCCTGAAATGTAGGGGAGCAAAGCAAAATAAGATTCACTCATTTTCGCACCGGAAAACAAAATAGGAGCTCTGTGTGCGAAGTCCAGTCTGATACTTGGAAAAATCCAGGGTGGATCCCAGTCTTCTGACCTCCTGGAGGGTTCTGATCCTGCCAGCCGGAGTTCAGGTCCTCAGCCCCAGGCTGCCACAGCAGGTGCACCCGGCCGGGGCGCCTCTGTCCTCCCTA